ATTCTGGACTCACACCCTCTGGGGGGCCAGAGGGCTGTACCAGCGCCGGTGACCCAGCACAGGAGAGGGCAGGGAAAGGAGGGGAAGGAGGGGCTCAATGTCTGCGGTACAGACACGAGGCTCAGCAAGCCCCACGTCAGGCGAGCAGGCGCACAGACGTGAGGAGCCCGAAAGGGTGGCTTTAAACCTGCCACCGCCCCCTCCCGCCCTCCGGAACTCGTGTGGTTTTCATTCACTGCAGTGTGAGGACAGCCGCTCGATGACATCCCTGGGTTGCTTTACCTGCCTGGTGGAAGACCGATCCCCCACTCCCTCCGGCTCTCAGGGACTGAGTTGTAGCCTCAGCCCTGCATCCCGGCAGCCCCCATCGCTACCCTCCGTTTGGGGTGGCGGGGTTCATCCTGCTCTCCTGCCCGAGCACAGGCGCCAGGGCCGGCGGGAAGGAAGCCTGGCTCTCCCCACCATCTTGCACGGCACCTCCTGACCCTCTTCCTTCTTTGAAAGTCTAGAGTTTTATAAAGTCTTTCTCCCTCACTTTTTCCCTCCTCATCTTTGCCCTGTGCCACACCAGCTGAAACAGAACTAGGAAAGGACCACAAAAAATATTCTATTCCAATTTTCCTACAAATAGTTCACTTGATAGTACACCCAAGAATTCCTCCTTCACCCCACAAAAACATCATTCAGATATGATTAGAAGGTGTGGTACTATCTAAAAAGGTACTGTACTGCATCGAGGTCAAAGGTTAAGTCTGGTAGAAAAGGCAGGCGTGTTTTCAAAGCCCCTCATGTACCCCCACCCAGGCAGCGGCAGAAACTGTATGTTGGTGCCGCCTCTTACATGGAGGGCAGAGGGAGAGCAGGGTCTGTTGGATTCAAGAGCCCAGGAGGCCGTAAAAAAATTACCACAACCCTGCCGGGGCTGGAAACCCGGAGAGGGCGCTATTGCTGCCCCAGACACGGGAAGGGGGCGGGGAGAAAAGTGGCTTTTCCACCTGTCAGCCACCCCTGGGTGAAGCATTAGAAATCACTCGTTTTCTCAGACAGTCGAGGCAGAGTGGGGATCTGTTCAAGGAAAGCTGGTGGGGGGGCCTCCACACTCTTCCGTAGCTGAAGACTGAGGCGGTGCTCGGGTGAGTCCTCCGACAAGGCTGGTCGGAGGCCCAGGACCGGCAAGCCGAGCCCGAGGGCCAGCTGCCCATTCTGTAAACAAGGAGTTACTGGAACACGGCCGCGCTCACCTGTTTACGTGGGTCCGCAGTGGCTTTCAGCTCCACTGGCAGAGCTGAGCAGCTGGCATAGAGACCACAAGACCTGAAGACCTAAAACATTTACTATACGGTCCTTTAAGAAAAAGCTTGCCAATGCCTGATTGAGATTAACTTGAAACTCAGTTTTAAACCACTTGGCTAATGCTAGTCTCTTAAATGTGAAGCTTACTTTCCAGACAATTTTCCAAGTGTTAATCATCGGATACAAAGGAGGAGGACTACGCATCAAGCATTTAGTCCCTCCCTCTGCAAGGCAGGGAGGGAAAGAAAACAGCTCAACGGCTGGGGCACGTGGGACCTGGCAGGAGAGGGACACCGAGCACCCTGGCACCTGCCCCACAGGACAAGCGAAACACTTCAGAAGTTTAGAGCAGAACGTAATTATTCCCTGGTGACTGACGTGGGTGTGTGAAAACGGGAGGAAGGGAAGGGAGAGAAGCAGAACAGGAGACAAGAGAAGACAGAGGCTGGGTGGCGCCTGAGTGAGGCACTGAAGAAAGTCACAAGAGGAGAATGAGGACAGGTTTCCAGGAGGAAGCCTCATCCGTCAATTCTCAGGCCTGTGGGCTGAGAAGGGACCAGCCAGGCCCAGAGCTGGGTTGGGGGCCTGTTCTGGAGGAGCAGAGAGAAGAAACAGACGCGGCTGCGGCAGCGAGCTGCCGGGGAGCAAGAGCGGAGGGCAGGCAGGTGCTGGCCAGGTTGGCTGGACCCCCGCGGTTTCTGGAACCTGCCGCGGGTCTCAGGGCAGGGGGACGGGTCAGACTGGCTCCAGCTGCTGTGGCAGGAGAAGCCGCCACACTTGAGGCCAGCAGGGAGGTCCCCGGACTGCAGAGTGCAGCGCCTCAAAGACTGCTAGAAAGCGGGGGCGCTGAGTGATGACGCCAACAGCTGGAGCCGCGGGGCCCAGGGCTGGAGGGCGGCACAGGCGGGCTCTCGGACGAGCTCCTGCCCCTGTTGCGGGGTTCCAAGCAGGCTCACAAGCCAGCGGTCTGACAGGCTGCCCCAAACTGCCTGCGACCACAACCCAGACAAGCCCCCTTCCGCATCAGGAACCATTCTTTCCCTGACCCGCTGCCTGGCACTTGTTCTAATCCTCCTAGTCATGTGCGTGTTTGATATCTCAATGTCCTGAATAAACCCTATGTTTAGATTCTTTCTGGTCACCCTGAGAGGTGAAGTACTTTTAAACAGACCTAAGTAACACCTCCAAAAACTTCTAGGGGACTGAACTTTAACCTTCTAAAGGTTAAAGAACCCAGGTTCACAGAAGGTTCACATTGCTAAAGAAGTGATGTGGCGAACTTCTGTCAAAAACACCCAAGCCAAACCAAACAAACAAAAAACTGCAAGCCTTTGGAACTCTTTACTGCCAAAAAAAAAAAAAAAAAAAAAGGACAGAAGTCCTGCTTGTTGTCTCTGCTTTTCTGAACTTTCATGTCACGAACAGCAGGACTGTGGCCCTGAGCAAGCTGCCCGGGAAACACGATCGCTTTCCTTGACAGGATCTGTTTATTCGCACATCGATTCAGGAGGGCAGATCCGGCCCAGGAACCGGATCCGTCAGAAGACAACTGACAAGGGAGGCTGCGGGCAGACCCCACTGCCCAGCATTCCCCTGAGCTGCCCGGCGAGTCTCAGCCTCTCCAAGTGGAGACCAACTTGGAGAAAAGCCATTTGTGTAATTTCAACAATTTGTTATTCACACTGTGCTCAAAAGAAGATTTAACTTCATCAAACTGTTATGCAGAATGTAAACCACCTGAAGGGCATTCCCTGCTCTTCAAACAGCCTGCACGGCCTCCAGGGATGGCGGGAGGCTTGGCTTGTTGTTGAAAGGTTCTCTACGAGTCCCTTCCCCCTGTAAGTAGGCTTACTGTTCAGGAGAAGGAAAGAGAGGAACCACGCTCATTTTCTAATTGTAAAGATTTAGTCCCCAAAAGACAGGCATGAAAAAAAAAAGCGTTCTCAAAAAAGAGGTAGAAGTACAAAATTCGGTAACGAACTGAAGTTTCAAGTGAGACTCTGGACTTAAAGGTGCCGTGCCAGCTACAGCTGCTAGCCCCCTGGGCTCTCGAGCCCAAACGTTCAGAAACTCTCGCTAACTCCTTTCAAATGGATACACAATGGATTAACAGCAGAAAAAAAGCCCGCGAAGTGCCAGAGGTTCCGCTTGCAAATATTTGGGCACCTCCCTGTGAAGGACACAGTGAGTACTATCCACTGCAGCAGCTTCACACGACAAAGCAAGGCTGAGAGTTGTGAAATGTATTGATCTCAATTTCTGGAAACCGTGGGCCAGAGAGACGCTCTCCATTAACAAGGTAAGTGTTCAGAGCCAGAAAATGTAGTTCTACTTTTCTATTGATGTCTCACTGGAGGAACAGAAGCTAATTGCCCTAAAAACGTAAAAGCTCTTTGCTAAGGCCAAAACGCAGATAATGCCATCAGCCACGTTTGGTCTAAGGAGTCACCATCGAACGCGGGACGCCCGCAGCGCAGGTGCCGTCCTGGAGCAGCAGCCTCAGGGGTCGTCTCTGTTCCAACGGCCTGGAGCAGATTTTCTAGGCTTGTGAGCATCATAAACGGACACCGTCTTTTTTTTTTTAAGCAGACAAGAACTTTTACACTCAAATGTTATGCCCTTAAAGTCTTCACAGTGTGAATCTGTACAATTGTTCCAAAACAGTTCCCACATCTAAAAATAATGGCACTCTCCTCTTTTAATCTCCTCAAGGAGACCAGAGAAACCAGTCATGCCAAATTCACATTTTTTTCTATGTATACAAAAACATGCTTGTTTGGTTTTTTGGTTTTTTTTTGGAAAAGATTACAGAATACTTTATACCTTGATTTTTTTCATGTAATCATGCATCACAACAAATGTCAACCTAATAAGTTCATTTAAAGGGAAAAAATAATAAATCACAGAAAGACGCACACACATTCATGGCTGGGGCTCCGGGCTGGGTGCGGCAGACGCAGGCGGACGGCGTGGGGAGAGGAGACACCGGCCCGCCTGCTGGGTGAGCATTCACGGCCACCTCGTGCATCTCACAATCCCTTTCGCACTTCGTGGAAAATGACACAAGATAAAGGAAGTCCAAGTTCTCTGCAGAAACAATCTAATAGACGCTTTGCCAGGGTGCTGGTGAGAGGCACTTCTTATTGGTCTCAAATGTGGCTGGGGGCGGGAAGGGCATGGAGTATATAAATAAACCAAGAAAATAATGAAGGAATGAATGAAGAAAAATGAATGTTTCTACAAAGAACCTGTCATCAATGGGGACAGTGAAAAATGAACACACAGACTGCAGAAAGGCTATTACCCCCTTTCCTTTCTTTAAGCTCAAAATATAGCCACAGCTTCCTCAGAGCCATGCACCAAACCTTAGCTTTTCTTCGGAGAAAAGTGGGAACTTCAGTTCCTACACATGTACTGGAAAAACGGAGAGCTAAACCCAGCAAAACTGCCAAATCACTTCCAAGCTGATACTCAGAGGTCAGGCCTGGTCTTTCCCTGAGAGCCCAGCTGAAGAAACCCCCGTCAGCGAGGCCAACGAGAACTTGACGCTGGAGAACCGCCGAGGACACTCGTCCCGAACGCCTCCCCTCAGCTGCCCGCCCTCAGCCTTCAGCCTTGGGAGCAGCGGCCACAGTCGGGCGGGGCGCGGGCTCTCCGGCTCCGCGGGCAGGTTCACTGCCGCCGGGAAGGCAGGCGTGACAACTCACCTCCGTCGTCCAAGGGCCGTTTCTGCACTCCATATCCATACACTGAGGGGTCCACTAGCGGTGCGGAATTATTCAAGTGAGGAATTGAATCAATTTTAGCAGCAATCTACAGAAAGAAGCAGATTTAAATATTCAGGAACAACTCAGGGCTCCATCTGAGGGAGAGAGACAAGAGTCTTCCCCATTTCTCCCCCAACCTTGATCCGTGTCAGGCAATGCCATGGTAGGAAAGCACTTTTCACTGATAAATTAGTTCTCTTTGGGTCTTAATGTCTCTTTAGAAATAATGTAGTTCGAAAAAAAAAATGTGTCTTTTACAAGCAAATTAGTATTTTTAAGTCATCACTTAAAATGCAGGCACACTGCATTTGAAGGAAAAAGCAGGCCGACATTATAAAAAACCTAGCTCCAAAGGTTTTATCACAGGATTCCTTTAAAACACAAATTCCCGCCCTGGCTGGTGAGGCTCAGTGGACTGAGTGCCCGCCTGTGAACCAAAGGGTCACCGGTTCAACTCCCAGTCAGGGCACAGGCCCGGACTGCAGGCCAGGTCCCCAGTAGGGGATGCGTGAGAGGCAACCACACATTGATGTTTCCTTTGCTAAAAATAAACAAATAAATTTTAAAAAACAAATTCCCCAACAATATTTAAAAGGTTGTTTGCTCAAATGCGGCACCTCTTCAGGACTATATCCATCTTATTAATTCTAATGTCTATCAAAGTGACAGTGCCATCTACAGAGATACAAAACACCAAGCCACTGCTCGCTGGACACGTATGCACAGTGGGGGGGGGGGGGGTGACCGATGGCCGCCCGCCCAGGCCAGTGCAGAAGGGGTCTTGCACTGGAGCAAGAGAGAGAACCTCCAAGGGAGTTCAACTTTTAATTTTTATTATCAGTTAAAGAACAGAACATAGCTATTACAAACTTTCCCCCATAAACAAACGCTATGTAGAACTTACTTATCTACTTTGTTCTCATTAGAACATTAAATGACCTTCATATAAATCAACACTTTGACTTAATCAAAATCGAAGTCTTTAATGGTAGTTCTAAGTTTGTCCCAATTTCTCCAAAAGTCTGAGACCTTCTGGGACCAACATAAGATAAATTAACCTTAACCAACCAAAGATAATCTTGGAAACCCAAGGCAAGATTTAAACGTCAGGTATCCCGGGGTCTTGTCCCTTCCTTTTATTAGTTCTGTGATGTTGGGCAAGTCCCTCTCCCTGCTTATGATCCTCTGGGTATAATACCACCTGCTTCATAGTTTTTGAAAAGATAACATGCTCTGAGCACAAAAGAGCTTCGTACACTGAGAAGCACTTCATAAATACCAGGGCTGCAAGACAAGGCAATGCACCCAGCAAATGTGGATCGCCTACTACATATTGGGCTGTTCCAGGCACTGGGGTTCCTGCGGTGACCAAGAGCAACCAAGCACCCACTCTCTGGAGAGGGCAGCCGGTGGCGTGTCACAGGCACACAATAAACTGATTGGTTCAGCTGGTGACAAGCATGACGCCAATAAGAGAGGATAACGACATACAGAGTGCGCTTAGGAGAGCAACTTCAGGTAGGGCAATCCGGGCAGGCCATTATGAGGCGACATGTAACCGGAGACCTAAATGATAAGCAGGAGCTGGCTATATAAAAACCCGATTGCTTGAACAATAAAAAAATTAATTATTTTTAAAAAGCTCAAGGAAGAGCTGTCCAGGCAGAAGACGGCTTGTGCTAAGGCCCTGGGGCAGGAGCAGGCTCGGCAGGCATGAGCCTGAGAGAGACAAGCTGCTGCTGTTAGAGCAGAAGGAATCAGATGTGTTCCAAGAGGCGGGCAAGGGCCAGCTGACGCCGGGCTTTCCGGGCCGCAGGACGGGGCTTGGACTTCGTGGGAAGAGCGGTGGGAAGCGGCTACCAGCCTGACTAAGGGAAGTGACATGCTGGTCTGTGTTTAAAGCTCTCCTTGGACAAGGCTAATAGGGGACCAGAGTAGGGGCGCCATTTAGGAGGCCTTCTAGGCCAGGGGTAAGCGAACTGTGCTTGGTGAATTGCCTGCTTTTGTAAGGGAAGCTTTATTAGACAAAGCCACACCCATCTATATTCGTTAAGGAGCTGCAGAGAGACCGTACAATGTGCAAGCCATACACATGCACGCATGCACACACACAATTTACTCCTTGGACCTTTAAAGAAAAAGTGGGCCGATCCCTGTCTAGGCTGGAGACAATGGTAGCCTCGATAGCTGCTTGTTAAAAAACATTATTTTAAGTAAACAATTAAAATACTAAGATAGGCTGCGGATAAAAAATCCCATCTCCTATATCCAAGTAAGTCTCTCAGGGCAGGCGGCCATTTGCTCTGAAACAAACTGCCGTGTGCACCTTGCCGGACAGCGCTCTCCCACCCACTTGCAACTCTGCCCCCCCACACTTGCTTTGGATAAGCTGGTAGAGGCTGGCTACCTACTTAAGGTGCAAAGGGCTCAGCTGGTAAAGCAGGTGGGTGAAAAAGGTGAGTGCCCTGTGAGGGGCTTGTCAACTCTCGCGACAACCTGTCGCCTGCTCCCCAACACCCAGCTGAGCAGCAAATGGCGGGTGTGAGGGTTCTCGAGAGCACTGGCCTCATTGCTTTTTAAGGACAGACCAAAACGTATGCAGGAAGACAGTGATGCTGACCCCAGAACATAGAGAACAGGGTATGCCTACCAGCAGAGTCCCCGAACAGTGTGCATATGACACAATCTCAAAGACAGGGCCCAAACACTCAGACAGGGCCTCAAAGACATCAGGTCCCCTCCCTGCTCCTTTCTGAGATGCCTCTTGGCTTCCAGATCTTTTTTCTTCCTGCCAAAGTAGCTAAAATGTTATTCCTGAGTCCTTGGCCTTCCTTATTTTTTTTTCCCCAAAGCCGATATGCTAAAAGTGGTACAACAGTTTCCTGTTCCCAATACTGATTATATCAATAAGTGTCCTTCCAGAAAGTGACTGAGGTTTTCAGATGTTTTTAAAACATGTTTACTTCACATTGGATATTTCCAATAATGGTTAAGAAGCATAGCTCTGAAGTCAATAGACTGCATTTAAACCCTGGTAAACCAATTGTCAGATACAAGTTTAACATTAATAATATACAACTGTATCCTAATTTACATTGATATTACATCCTACATATTACAGTATACCATAAAAAAACAATGTATTCCTCTCTTCATACAAATGTAACCTTATTTCAAGGAATGATACTAAACGTCTACTAAAATAACCAGGTGAAATTTAATGAGTGCTTACTATGTGCTAAGTACTCTGCTAGGCGCTTTTTTTCTTTTCTTTCTCTCTCTCTCTCTCTCTTTCTCTTTCTTTCTCCCTCCCTTCCCCCTTCCCTTCCTTCCTTCCTTTTCTTCACCCAAGGACATTTTTTCATTGCTTTTTAGAGAGAGAAAGGAATGGAGAGAGAAACACTGATGCAAGAGAAGCATGAATTGGCTGCCTCCCGTATAGACCCGAACTGGGGACCACTCGCTGACTGGGAATCGAACCCACAACCTTTCGGTTATGGGACGACGCCCCCACTGAGCCACACCGGCCAGAGCAACTACTAGCATTTTAATAATGGTATCTCATTTATTCCTTACAATGAGTCTCCAGGAGGCTGTTATTATTTCCATTTTTAAGATAAGGAAAAGTGAGGCAGAGAAGCTGAATGGCCTGTCTAAAGTCACACATCTTAAAAGTGGCAAAAAATGGTATTTACATCCAGGACTGTCAGACTCAAGTCTAGAACCACAAGCAACCTCCCTTTCCTCCACGCAATACTTTCTTCAACATATTTCACTTCTTGAGGACTTAAAACCTAGTGATTTACAGTACACAGATGTGAGGCAACTCCTCACACTGCTACTAACCATTGTGACAGCAGCTGCTTAAGGGAAGCATGATACTCTCTCAGCTAATGGCATAGGCCACTGAAGCCAGAAAATTCCAACAAAACCAAGGCCATTCCAGTCACCTGAAAGCATGACCTTGAGCCCTGGCCAGGTAGCTCAAATTGGTTAGAGCATCATCCAGATACACCAAGGTTGCGGGTTTGATCCTTGGTCAGGGCACATACAAGAATCAGCCAATAAATGCATAAATGGAATAACAAATCAATGCTCCCCCATCTCTAAAATCAATAAATTGAACAATGATTTTTTTAAAAATGCAAGCCTTGGCTTGTGCAGCTCAGTGGACTGAACCAGCATGCACATCAAGGGGTCGCCGGTTCAGTTCCCGGTCAGGGCACAGACCTCGGTCGCGGGCCAGGTTCCTAGCGGTGGGTGCACTAGCAGCAACTACACACTGATGTTTCTCTGCCTCTCTTTCTCCCTCCCTTCCCCCCTGTCTAAAAATAAAGAAATAAAATATTTAGAAAAAATTAAAAAATGAAAGTATGACCTTGAAGGGACTCTGCTACCAATTTTCTACTTCAGCTACTTTTCCCACTTTTGGGAGGCAGGTGGGGAGGAGAATGGGTTATCTCGTTCCCAGTGCTATTTTAAGCACATGAAAGATGAACTCCAACTCAATGTGACAGACTCAGCCCCACACCAGCGGTCAGTGGACACACGGAGGAAAGGAGCACTGGGTCACGGGCCAGCCAGGGGCCGGACAGAGGCTTGGTTTTTTCCTGGCAACTCTCCAGTGCACAGCCTTGGGCAAGACCCTCGATGGCCTTGCTCCTTGCTGTACGCACCTGTAAAATGCAGGAACAACTGAACCAGTGTTTACCAAAGAGGAGTACACAGGTGATTTGGGGAGGTACATGGATGAATATGGTTATTTCTTACAGTTACCTTCAATGCACAGTAGAGTTTTCCACTTACGATAATGATTGTTTCCTTTTGAAAAATATTTCAAATAAACCTAAATTTTAAAATGAATGATTTTTGTGATATGGCAAAAATCACAAAGGTGGTACACAAATTACTTGTTTGTAAACATGGCAATTAATTATTCCCAGAGTACACTTTTAGGACTAAAAATTCTCTGATGACAGGTTTTCTAATCAGTGTAGTTCATCCTATAAATCCAAATATGAAGCTGTGGGTATTTCCGCAGCTTCA